TCCGATGAAATCTAGATTTCTATCCCAAAAGCTTTAGATGTAGAACTCTTCTATATTACTCGTTTTAAAATTCGAACTCTTTTTATGACTCGTCTTAAAATTGAAACTCTTTTCATTACACGTCTTAAAATTCAAAATTTTTAGTTCAATTTTTTATGATTCGAATTGTTTCTGTTAATCTCTATGACTCGTTTAAGAATTCGGACTTTTATATAAGACTTCTTAGCATTCAAAATCTTACTCGTCTTAGCATTCAAAATCTTACTCGTCTTAGCATTCAAAATCTTACTCGTCTTAGCATTCGAACTCTTCTCTATTACTGATCTGAAAATTCATAATCTTCTCTGTTACTCCACTTAGAATTCGATCTTTTCAATCAGACTTCTTGGAAATTGAACTCTTCTTAGAATTTGAGCATTTTCTATTACTCGTCTGAGAATTCGAACATCTCTATGACACTTCTTGAAAATGGAACTCTTCTTTATTACTCCTGTTAGAATTCGACCTCTTTTCTATTACTCGCCTGAGAATTTGAATCTCTTTCTATGACACTTCTAGGAATTCGAACTCTTCTATATTACTCGTCATAGAATTCGACCTTTTTCTATTACTAGTCTGAGAATTCGAACATCTCTATGACACTTCTTGAAATTCGAACTCATCTTTATTACTCGTCTTTGAATTCGACCTCTGTATATCAATTTTCTTAGAATTCGAATTCTTCTTTATTTTTCTTAATATTCAAATTCTGTTTATTATTCTTCATTATAACTCTTCGCTTAATATCCACTTCATCCCTGTTTATCTAAACCCCATTTATAGAGCTCCGATAAAGACTGACATGATTTTCATTTTATGCTCGACAATTTACTATTCTCAAACAAGTTCATGTTACTCATATAGCTTTATAGATTTTAAATATAACCAACTGTTATAATATATATATATATATATATATATATATATATATATATATATATATATATATATAATTATTTTTCAAAATATGATTACTTCGCTACATAAGAGTTCTCATGTTTCAAAAACAGGAGCCAAAAACTTCAATATAATTATTAAAATTAAATTGAATTAAAGTATCAAGATCGGTTTCATCCTGAAGCGAAATTTTTTAAATAACGAATCTTGAAATTTACGCATCTTTATAAGCATATTCATTCGTAGAATTGATTACTATGGAAGCTGCTAAAGTAACTATTTCAATAAGGGTTGACAAGGGTTAACGATTTGTATCAACATATCAGTCACCCTCGGAAAGAGTCCAAACCAAGGCAGGGCCGCGATGTCCATTTCGGCTCAAGTTTTGTATTGAGCACTGTTTTTTTTTTTTTTTTTTTTTTTAAATAAAAACTAGTCCTGCTTCATCCTCAAGCGAAAAAAATTCGATTGAAAATGAAACAGAACTAGGCATTTAACTTAATTTAATTTAATTTATAACTGGATTGATGCTTTTAGCTTCTGTTTTTGAAACATGGTAATTCTTGTGTAGCGTTGGAATCATATTTTAAACAAAAAAATAATTATAATCTAGGCTCTACTTTTGTATCGAGCACTGTTTTTTTTAAATAAAATCAAAATATTAAAGAACATCGGATCAACAATCTAACGGTTCTTTCCTCTATCTATCTATCTATCTATCTATCTATCTATATATATATATATATATATATATGTATATATATATATATATATGTATATATATATATATATATATAAAGTCATCCACAGACAGACTACTTCGCTGTTTCACAGCTCATCAGTGTGGCTAGACATCCGGTTGCCTCTAGCTAGGATCGAAGCCCGACTGAATTGGTGTCAGTAGGAGATTCTACCACTAAGCCGTCGGCACAGGGTAGGGATGAAGGTGGATTTTAGCGTATTTATTTTTAGAAACACACACAGTGACCGACAGTGACTCAATTCGCTTTTTTGTGAAGAGTCTCGCTATATTAGCTTTAATAGTCACTGTTTTACAAACCCACACCTCATCCCCAGAGAGCTCAACTGAAATTAATTTTTCAGGAGCCAATGTATATATATACATGTATATATATATTATTTTGAGCCAGTATTACCCTGAAGATCCGTTAGGCGATACCGCGGTAGGTAGGTTCTGGCTCACTAGGTATATATATATAATTATTTATATATTATATGCGCGGTACTTATTAGAAAGCGCTCAATATCAGTGATAGAGCTAACATATATATATATGTATACATACACGAGAAATCTTCGCTACACTCCCAATCTTTGAATTTCAACATACAAATGCGTATGTATAGACACAACACCAGCCGTATACATATGTCATATCCGAAACTGCCCACATATGTTTATATATGTATGAGTCCCGACGGACGACCAAGTATGTATATGTGTCTGCATACATCGATGTTTGCGTTAGTACGATGACAAAACGATGACGTTTCCCCCACCACTTCCACAATAACACCAATACACGCAATTTACATAAACCCAAAATTTTAAGAAATTAATCAGTTTGTCTGACGATCGCAGGGTCACAAACTCACATCTATCCGACGAAATATATATATATATATATATATATATATATATATATATATATATATATATTGTGTGTATTTAGGCAGCATATTTTCATTTATACACGTTTCATTAAATAATATAAAATGTTGTCTATTTATTTTTTGTAAAATTTTCGTATCTTCTGATAAGTTTTATAAAATCATTATAGTGATTGCAACATGAACTCATATAAGACGCTTTTAAGCGAAATCTTTTTTTCATTCTCAATTTCATTATCAAAGATGTGTGTAGTCATGTGTGACAAACAATAGATGCGATTTTCGCTTCTAGCGTCTTATATGCGCGTGTTCATCGTTGCTTAGTGATCCACTATGGAAAACAAAACAATGACAGACTATATCATCACTGTCGTGTCCGTATATTGTTTGATATGTTTGTATTTACATCTTTGATAATGGCTTGAGTAAGCCGGAAAGCTTTAGATTTTATTAAAAATAATGGATAAATATTGTGAATTTCTTTTTTTTCGGTTAATGATAATGTTATAAAACTTATCAGAAGATACGAAAAAATTTTTACATAAAATAAATAGATTAACATTTGTTCATATTATTTAATGAAAATATATATATATATATATATATATATATATATATACATGTTTCATTAAATAATATAATTTGAGTTCCAGCACTTCACGAGGCTGGCATCCTGCTCTCACCCCCTCACTGTCGAAACTCTTAAATGTAGCCGTCTCTTCTACTCTAATAGCTTCATGTCTCGCACCTCTCGCCTGTGGAACTCCCTTCCCTTTCCTGTTTCCTGTGAGCTATAATCTCCAGCTATTCAAGTGTAATGTCAATCGACATTCCAGTTGCCTTGATCTATCCACTACCCTCATCCTTTCTTCTATCACTCCTATCTGATCTTCCTCTAAATTTTCTGTAACCCCCTAGTGGCTTCCCGCCTTGCTTGGGGTGAAATGCTTAAAAAAAAAATAATTTAATGCAACATGTATGAATGAAAATGCTGCCTAAATACACACACACAATATATATATATATATATATATATATATATATATATATATATATATATATATATTGTTTTAAGCCAGTATTACCCTGAAGATTCGTAATTATACTCGTCTGAAAAACCTTTACGTGTTTTGGCTTGGAAATAAACAAACCAATACCCAAGGAAAATAAGGGATAAAACTATATATATTAATGTAAACCAGTATTACCCCTGAGATCCGTTAGACGATACCTTGGTAGGTAGGTTCTGGCTCACTTGATATATATATATATATATATATATATATATATATATATATATATATATATATATATATGACAACAGTAATTTAGAGAATAAAATTTCTTTTGTAATGAGCACTTAGCAGTGACTACCAAACAACAGCCGGAATCCCCATTTTCCATCTTCTTTCAATTATCGACTTTCTTCGAGTTGATAGTAACACAAATAAAATAGAACATTACTCTTAACCACTTTCTCCTCTAGAACCACTTCAACGAAATTTCTTTCCTTTTTTTTTTTTTTTTTTTTTCCTTTTCTTTCTACCGGAGATCTATGTCTTCATTTTCTACCTTCACCTCCCCTGACTATTCATTCTCCGTGCCAGCACCGTTCGTCGCCTACAGTGCCCCGGTACTTATCTCTCTTAAGGAGTTGACAACACACTTTGATGATCAATCAATTTTTATTCTTCAGTTTCTTCCCTGCGGGGACGATATGGCTCCCGACACCCCGACCAACAACGACAACTCAAACCATTGCACTAGAACATATGTTTTGCCCTGCATCTTCAACGACACGGATACCCTTGGATGACGGGCCGGATTTGGCCGTGGGCTCGTCACCCTGTACTTAAGGCGATCAATTCACCATTTAGCTCGTGAGTTCAGTATTGTTCTCTTTCTTCAGGTTATTCCAGACCGCCCCCATTACGAAGAGGACCATCGTCTCCTTCCGGTATCATGTCTTCATCATCAAATACAGTTTTCCTCTTATTCCTTCCTAGAGGATGTTACGTTTCATATCGTTTTTTTTTTCTGTCTTCTTCATGGACTTATCTAACCTTTACAAGCAATCATGAGAGAATTAGAAGTCCTACCAGGATTCCTTATAGCTGGCCACAATCTTAAAAATATTAGATATGTAGATAACGCAGTATTGATAGCAGACACAGAAAGGAAACGACAGAATTTCGTAAAGCAAAGCGATAACAAAAGGCTATATATCAATTGTAAGAAAGTAGAATATTAGGTTGTTAGAAAAAGGGGCAGACCAACATGCGAATTACAAATTGGAGAAACACAAATTAAAAAAGTGCAAAAATTTAAACAGCTAGGGAATGTTTAAACAGAGGACGGAAAATGCAACACCGAAATCTGATGTCCCATGGGGATAGCGGAAGATGCTTTGCAGAATATAATCAAAGTATTAAGAAAACAGGAAAATTTCAATAAAAAATAATAAAAATGTAAATTCTTTTTTTTTTGTAAATTCAAAACATTGAACATTGAAATCTTGGACGCTGCATAAACAATAATCAGGAACCGTTGAAATGTTTTGAATTTACAAAAAAAAATTTACATTGAAACTGGTCTCAGATGAGATTGAAAGTTCTTGGGAAAAGAAAAACTATTTGAAAGAAAATGTTGGCATTTTTCTTAATCAATTTTCTAAGGCTAACAAGAAATTAACCCGTGAACTTTAAAGGATCACAACAAAAACAAATCGACATGATACGTCTAAATTATCTAACCCAAACTGTTTGAATATATATATATATATATATATATATATAAATTCATGAATCATTCATACAAAAAAACAAATATAGAGGTTAATGATTTAAATGGCGAGAATACATCGTCGCAAACAATATAAATAATATACACCAACCCCGAACCTGTATATGAATGATATGATCCCTGTTTATAAATTCCAGTTGCATAAGGTCTTTTTAATTTTTTACAAGCTTTCGTCTGTTCCTACAGACATCATCAGGTATGGAAGTAGGTTTTAGTTCTTGTTTTTACTTCTCAGTAATAAGAGGACAACGAAAATAGAGATGTAATCGGAAAAAATGCTATGAGAAATGTGTTATTGTTTTGGAACGTGCAGTCGCAACGCTGAGTTTGAATTTAAATTTTAAGGTTGTGCGTTTTTGTACAAATATAGCAATAAAAGAATTCTTTTTTACTGGTAAATTTTCCGTCAATATGGCATGAACTATATTGTTCAATAATTACAGGAATGTCACACTTAAAGTAAAAACAATAACTGAAATCTACTTCCATACCTGATGACGTCTGTAGAAAAAATTGTAAAAAATTAAAAAGACCTTATGCAACTGGAATTTATAAACAAGGATAATATCATTCATATACAAGTTCGGGGTTAATGTATCTTATTTATATTGTTTGCGAAGATGTATTCTCGCCATTTAAATCATTAACCTTTATATTTGTTTTTTTTTTTTTTTGTATGAATGATTCATGAATTTATAAATTATAATTGCACCTTTTAATTGAAATATATATATATATATATATATATATATATATATATATATATATATATATATATATATATATATATATGTATGTATGTATGTATGTATGTATGTGTTCAACATGAGCAACGGCGAAATTTTAGGACAAAAGGAAACAAAAAGGACACTTACACGTAGCATCAGAAGGAGATAGATGAAATTTCTAAAGTACAGAATAAGGAAAGAGGGCTTGGAAAATATGACACGCACGTGACATATTGAACGCAGGACGGACATCGGAAAACAGTGCATGACCTACCTAACGAGCAAAACAAAGGAGAGGAAATAGTGAAGAGCCATTGTCGACCATGTAATGAATGGGCTCGCGCGTAGAAGAAGAACGATCTCGTTTAAATGGTTGGCAGAACATGGATTAAGAGAGAGAGCAAAAAAAAAACAAAAAAAAAACTTTAATAAGAGCTACGTTGTGGAGGGACATACTCGCCCACGTCCCTAATGGACGTCGTACATATGAGAAAAAAGGAGGGTGTAGAATTTTAAGAAATTGCTCCAAGTTTGAGAATGTGATGGCAGAAATGGATAAGCTGAATATTGTCAGGGTCTGTACAACAAGCTGGGGAAACAATAAGGGATTTTATAACCACGATCCCATAATCGGATTCGTAGCAGCGAAAAATAAAAGAGGAGTCGGACTAATATTAGATAAAGATAAGAAGATTTATTTTTGATCTTTTTACATTAATGCGGGTGTTCCCCAGGTCTCTATCCTTGGACCTACGTTATTTCTAATTTTCATCAACAAATTTCCCGATGTCATCAGTTCATGCATACGGTATCTACGCTGATAACTAAATATTTATTATGCGTTCAAATTTGCTTTGACATTCATGAGTCTATCACGTCGGCCATCAAGGTCCTGCATCAAGATCAGAAGTTCATTAGAGTAGCATTGTCTGTCATAATATAATTGGTCAATTTAGTTGATTGCAGAGCGACCAGCCTGTCTTGCATAATGGTTACATTTCAAGAGCAGTAGATCACTCGATGGGTCCAGAGACGTGTGATTTAATTGTCTCTAAGAAATTATAAGCATACTTCTGAACATCCGGGTCATGGCACCGTTTTGCTTAGACTCAATGGTTTTCGTTAATATCCAAAAGCAATGGCACCGTCCATTAAAACCATTTCTACAGTGGTACGAAAGAAATTCTGTTTGAGGTTGAATGGTAGATTTCAAGATTACATCCATTATAGTCAATGTGGCCCAGGCTTTAGCCATGCGAATTTTCACATATTTTTCAATAGAATTCCACTTCCTAAATATGTCTGTTCAATCTTTTAGATATCTAGGAAGCGATAACAATTTACACCTGTCTTAATGACACCTGGTCTAGTGCCCCGGCTTTTCATCTCGAGATTCTTGACAAAATCCAAAGAAGGATCTGTAATGTAATCTATCCTGACTTAGCGTCTCGGCTTCAGTCATTTTCTCACCGATGATTTCGCCTTGTCTTTTCTACAAATATTTTCATGGCAGCTGCTCTGACGAGCTTTTTTTTTTTTAACTGGTGCCTCGACTTCATGAATTTAAGCGTGTTACTAGATTGGCATCTAGGTCCCAATCTTTTTTTTACTGTCAAAATAGTTAGATGTAACCACCTCTTCTACTCCAACAGTTTCATTATTCGCACTTCCTGCCTGTGGAATTCCCTTCCATTTACTTGCTTCCCTGATAACTACAATGTTCAAACATTTAAATACAACGTCAATCTCCATTTTCTATCTTCTTGAATCCCGTTCATATTTTGTCCTTTCCGCAATCGTGTCTATGCTCAGTCTTTTCTCTCACGTTAACTCCTTGTAACTCCCTGAGGACTAGTGGCATTCACGCCTTAATTGGGGGTGAAATGATAAAAAAACGAAACAAAGAAAACCAAAAAAAAACAAGTATAATTCGTTCGATAAAGTCAAATTGGCAGCTGATCTCAAAAATGACTTGTGATATGTTGTTAATTGGGGCAAGAAATGGCTTGTAATGTGTTGTTGACTAGGGCAAGAAATGACTTGTAATGTGTTGTTAATTCGGGCAAGAAATGGCTTGTAATGTGTTGTTAATTGGGGCAAGAAATGGCTTGTAATGTGTTTTTGACTAGGGCAAGAAATGACTTGTTAATTGTAACACCTCCTAAACGAAACTGCTTTTCTTAGAGAATTTTTTTGGCTTCCATCAGCTTGGCTAATACTAACCTTTAGAAGAATTATTGATTTCGTTTTTTCGTTGTTCCGGTGAAATTAACTGGAAATATTATATTCTTAGGCCTGCTGCTAGAAAATCTGTTTAACATTGGTGTACTAAACAGTTTTTCTCGACAAATTGTTTTACAAATTTATTCATTCATGCATCATATCTGGCCTGGTGTTTTTGGTATATATTTAGCGATTGATGAGAAAATTAATAGAAGAATCTGCAACGTTATCAGTCCTGACCTGACATCGCGGTTTCGGTCTTTTTTTCACCTGCCGTAACAAAGATTCCCTGTGTCTTTTCTATAAATATTTTCATGGTAATTCTTTTGGTGAGCTTTCTTCTGTGTTATCCCAACTTTATAAATTTAAGCTCAGCTTTAGATTTGCGGGAATGTTTCATCACTTTCAAGTTGAAATGGCTAGATCCAACCGTAAGTTCTATTCTAACACTGTCTTCTCTCGAACTTCTCGCTTCTGGAACTCTTTTCCGGCTTCAAAAATTGAAATGCGATGTCTATCGTTATCTTGTCTTTTTAATTGCCGTTCTTTATTTGTTCTATTTCCTTAAAAATGTTCCTCTTTCTCTCATGTTCTTTCAGATCCAATAACCTCTTGCGTCTTAGTGGATTTACTGCCTTGCTTGAGATGAAATGATTATAAAAAAAAGTCTAACTCATATTACAGAAGAATTTTGCTTTGAGATACCGGCAGATAAGGAAACTTCTTATGTAATATTAATGAAACAGACAATCATAAGTCGCGATTATTATATGTATCCATGCCAGAGCGCACAGAGCATGGCCATTATCGCAGTGGCCATGATCAGTGCTATATGACATGAATCATAAAACCAGAAACACTTAAACATATTCCACAGTTATGGGTATTAGTTTGTCTTGCATTTTCAATATTAATATTGGGTAAAATACACTGTTTATGATAATATATATATATATATATATATATATATATATATATATATATATATATATATATATATATGTGTGTGTGTGTGTGTGTGTGTGTGTAAAAATAGAAGGAACTGATTAAGTAAATAATCCAAAATGGATTCCCAAAAAAATTTCGCTTGAAGATGGAACAACGCTTACTTTAACTCAATTTAATTCAAATAATTATATTGAAGTTTTCGGCTCTTGTTTCGAAACATGAGACTTCTTATGTCGCGAGTTGGAATCATATTTTTAAATAAATAATTATATATATATATATATGTCTTTTTTACAAATACTTTCATGGAAATTGCTCCGATGAGCTGCTTCCGCTGGTTCCCAGACTCCATGAATTCAAGCGCCCTACGAGGCTGGCATCCCGCTCTCACCCTTTCACTGTCGAAACTATTAAATGTAGCCGTCCCTTCTACTCCAATAGCTTCATGTCTCGCACCACTCGCCTGTGGAACTCCCTTCCATATTCCTATTTCCCTGACAGCTATAATCTCCAACTATTCAAATGCAATGTTAATCGACATCTCCAGTTGCCTTGATCTATCCACTATCCTTCTCCTCATCCTTTCCTCTATCACTCCTATCTGATCTTGCTCCAAATCTTCTGTAACCCCTTGCGTCCTAGTGGCTTCCCGCCTTGCTTGAGGTGAATAGATTATTAAATATATATATATATATATATATATGGTGTATATGTGTTGTGTATCATAAAAATAGTTTGATCCTTTGCGTCAATGGCGAATAAACTGGTCCCATTTTGTGGGCTGCTGAAAAGAGGCTATGGCCTTCACCGTACTACTTTCTATGAAAGAGGTATACACCTCGTTCCAGATCTATATTGCACGAGAACCTCCGACAGTATGTTTTGCAAGACATCAATTTTCCTTGATGAGGCTTGAATAACACTGGGGAGGTGGGCCTTTGACGCTGAGCAAAAAAGTCAGTCGGCACATTAAAAGGGCAAGTTCACGCTTTTAATTTTACGTGGCAAGTGCCTTTCTTGAGCGCGCGCAAAAGTCGTATTGTAGCGACGATGCCTCATTTGCAGTGTGACGTGTTATCTCGCGTCAACGCCTTTCATGAAAATTCTGGCGTGAATAAGTAACAAAGAAAGATTTGGCATCTTTGAAATAATCGAAGAAATGTTGATGCGAATCTTGTATGATGTAATGGCGTTGATATTTGGCTTGAGTAAGAAAAACAAAAACTAAAAGGTCAAATATGACAACATTTCGCCGTAATGAACATTGCAACCAGTAGGATTTCGTTTTTAACATTTATTCTATCTATCTATGACAGTCTCTTCATATCTATCTATCTATCTATCTATCTATCTATCTATCTATCTATCTATCTATCTATGACAGTCTCTTCATATCTATCTATCTATCTATCTATCTATCTATGACAGTCTACTCATATCTATCTATCTATTTATCTGTCTATGACAATCTGTTCATATCTATCTATTTATCTATCTATGACAGCCTGTTCATATCTATCTATCTATCTATCTATCTATCTATCTATCTATCTATGTATGGCAGGTTCATATCTATCAATCTATCTATGTCAGTTTGTTCATATCTATCTATCTATCTATCTATCTATCTATCTATCTATCTATCTATCTGTGTTTCTTTCTCTATCTTAGTCTGTTCATATCTATCTGTGTTTCTTGTCTATCTATCTATCTATCTATCTATCTATCTATCTATCTATCTATCTATGTCAGACAGGTTAATATCTATCAATCTATCTATGTCAGACAGGTTCATATCTATCTATCTATCTATCTATCAATCTATCTATGTCAGACAGGTTCATATCTATCTATCTATCTATCTATCTATCTATCTATCTATCTCAGTCTGTTCAAATAGATCTATCTCAGTCTGTTCATATCTACCTGTATATCTTCAATCTATCGATATCAGTTTGTTCATATCGATCTATTTATCTATCTATATATCTATCGGTGTCTTTATATCTATCGATCTGTTTATTTCAGTATGTTCATGTTTATCAGTGTGTTATATCTGTCTTTCAATCTATATCAATTTATTCATATCTATCTATCTATCTATCCATCTATCTGTTCATATGTACCTATCAATCTATATATCTATTTCAGTCTGTTCCTATCTATCAATCATTCTCAATGTATTAATGTCTATCAGTGTATTCATATCTGTCTTTCAATCTATCTATCTATCTATCTATCTATCTATCTATATATATATATATATATATATATATCAGTGTTTATATATCTCTATTACAGTATATCTTATTCAAATCTATCTCATCTCTTTGTATTTCTAGTGTATATATATATATATATATATATATATATATATATATATATATATATATATATACATGTGTGTGTATGTGGGTGTTCGTGGCTTAAATTGGATCGTATTTCTGTCCTGCTTTGTTTGCTATTATACCTTTCTTTGTTCCCCCCCACAAAAAAATGAGAGAAACATTGCCCTTCTCTTCATACGATTCGTTTCCCTTGAAAAGAAAATGTCAAAATGGTTTTGCTGACAACTAGTGGCTAAAGTAAAAGACAAAAGAAACACGTGACCATTTGGCGATAGGACATTTGGAGCAATAAAGCAAACCTCTGAAAGATCATACCTGTTCTTTTTGGTCATACAAAGATATGTCCAAAAGATCGCAGTCAAAGCAGACTCCTCAAATTGATGTTCTTGTCTGTTTGGATATGTAAGTCACAAACTGTCTACTTTGATATACATGCTGGATAATGAAACGCCAAGTTGTTCGATCACTGCTGATCAGACCTCGAACTACTGTCAGTCACTATGGACGAATGTCTCTGCGAGGAGTCTCCGTGTTCTGAGCGAAATTACATATGGGACGACTTAATATATTTCGTATCTATCATTTATATTACAAAGATTAACGTAAAGATGACGAATCGACAATGATAATTTGATGACATTCCATGTTATCATGGCCGATCAGACCCCGAACTACCGCCAATCACGATGAACGGACGTCCCCTCAAGGAAGCTGCGTGCGTTGGGAGAATACTGGGCCTTAAACTCACACCCTTGGAAGTCTTATATGCGTAGGCGATCATATATCGTTCGATAGATGACTCACGAGGCAGATTTTTCCCCGCAGTAGGTTGCTATTTCTTTCTGCAGTAAACCAATTGCCATCCAAAAGGGTATTGGTATTAGTAATGGACTCATCTGGAATTTGAACTCGGCTCTCCGATTCTTCAATCTGAGCCGTTATCTATTATTCCACCGGGCCTCTTTGACATTCAATGCCTCAAAACCCAAACTAGTTACATTCCATTACCGTCAACCAGATCTCGAACTACTGCCAGTTACGATGAACGGACGTCCCCTGAAGGAAGTTCCGTGTGTCGGGAAAATATTGGGCCTCAAACTCACACTAGTTTGCCATTTCATTCTGTGGTAGACCAGTTGCCATCCACCCATAGCTGGAGGGAGAAGAAAGGTATTGGCATTACTATTGAATGTAATGGATGCGCCTGGAATTCGAACTCGGTTCTCCGGTTCCTCAATCTGAGCCGCTATCCATTACTCCACCTTGCTTCCTTTACATTCAATGCCCCTAAAACCGAACTGGTTACATTCCATCACCACCGATCAGAACCCGAACTACCGCCAGTCACGATGAACGGATGTTCTTTCGAAGGGTCACTTTGCCTTGAGATAAATCTTATATACGATCAATCGCTATTGATCGCAGGTAAAATGATTGGTTTCCTGCACATCTTCAGTAAGTACCTGACTCCCCATGACATTCGTTCATAGTAGTTCGGGGTCTGATCGGCAGTGATGGAACAACTTATCGTTTCATTCTCCAGCATGTATATCAAAGTAGACTTTGCCAGATCAGGATAAAAAATGGAGTACTATGGCCATATTTGGACGGGAGCTGCCTACTCCTCACTTCCCAGTCTTGTTAGAGTTCAAAAGCGTCTGCGAGTCTTTTTTGGAGAAGAATTCTTTACCACTCTCTTTCTCTATCTCTTTCTCACTCTCTCTCTCTCTCTCCCCACACACAGACGGTATGTGGCGAGTCTCTCACTGCTCTCTCGCAACTTCCATGCAAAGTGCTGGGACGAACTACATTCCTTGGTTCTACCTAGTCTAACATTCACAACTAGGACCCGCCAGTACACTTACATTGTAGCAAACCACCCACGCTCCCTCTGTATTCCATCGGAGTTCCCCTCGAACAGATTCTTCCCGCGAACCATTGCCGTGTGGAACAGACTCCCAAGAGAATGCTTCCCCGATCACTAAAATCTTAACCTGTTCAAATCTCGGATTAACAGTTACCTTACCCTGCTATCCACATAAACTACCTCTTGACGAGCTGATACGGAAAGAATATGCAATCCCATGCTAAAGATGCAAGTAAAATGATCGGGTCTCTGTAACGTTCCAATAAGTACCTGATACCACATGCAATCCTCTAACTTGAGTCAGATCAGGTCGAAAATGGTGTACTCTTGCCCTCTTTTGGTAGGAGCTGCTCAGTCCTCACTTTCCAGAATTGATAGAGTTCAAAAGCGTCCCCGATTCATTTTTCGAAAAGAATTATTTTCCATCCTCCAACATCTGTCTCTCACAGTCGGAATTTGGCAAGTCTCTCACTGCTCTATTGCTACATCCATGGAAAATGCTCGGACGAAATACATTCCTTGATTCCACCAGGTCTGAACTTCACAGCCAGGACCCGCTATACCACTTAAATAGCAGCAAACCAGTCATATTCTCCTCTCTGTTCCATCGGTGAGAAACGAGTTCGACACAAACAGCTTCTTCCCGCGAACAGGCTCCCAAGAGGATGCTTCCCCGATCTCTACAAACTTATCCTGTTCAAGTGGAGAGATAACCCTCCTAAATATTAGGTTGGTGCAAAAATAATGACGTAATAATGTCGTTTTTTGACGTACTTTTCTACATCAAAAAACGACATTCTTACGTCATTATTTTTGCACCAACCTAATATATAAACTACACCTGAACGTAACCCTCTACCTACAGTGGACCTCGGGCCTTGCACAGTGTGAATCTTACTGTAAAAAAAAAAAAAAAAAAAGCAAAGGAGAAACAAAAGAAAATAATTATATCAAGAAGGTTCCAAAATCTCGAAGAGAATGGGTTTCATTAAGCCAAGCCTGTAAATATAAAAATCTGACGAGAAAGCTGAATTTCTCCTGATATCTTGCACTGTCGTCTTGTCACTGTCAGGAAGAGGCACGATGAAGTAATGCGGCTTGGACTGAGGAATCGGAGAGCCGAGTTCGAATTCCAGTCAAATCCATTACATTCACTTACATGTTAATACATTTGGGAAAGGTATGAATCCTTTTCTACTCCCCCAGGACAGACCGGGTTCTATAGCTTTGGATGGCAAATGGTCTACCACAGAAAGAAATGGCAACCTACTGCGGGAAAAAAATCTGCCTCGTCAGTCACGTATCAAAAGATATATGATCGCCTAAGCTTCTGTAGTGCATGGCGTAAGACTGACTGACTTTCCAGTTGAATCCATTACATTCAATTAGGCGCTAATACCCTTGAGAAAAGGTATGAATCCTCTTCTTCTCGCCATAGCTATGGGTAAATAGCAGGACAGAACGGGTTCTATATTCTTGGATGGCAACTGGACTACCGCAGAAAGAAATGGCAATCT